TGCTTCCAAATTTGAAATCATTTTATGAAGAGTTCTATGGCCTAATGATTCTCAGAACTCAATAAATCTTTGTACATATTATAGGAAGTATAAATTTTTTTTAAACATCATCTAATTATACATGTAAAATTAAATATGCTCTCCAGTAAGACACTTCTTTTCTGAACCTTAAAGATCCTTAATTTAGATCCTTTAGAAAAACTGGTGAGAGAATTTCTCTCTTTCCAAACATTCCTGGGGTTGGTCCACTAGTTAGTTGTGTATCTATGTTGCCAACAGCTGCAAGTATGCTGTAATCACAATGACCCAAGAAATAAAAAACACGGAATATTCTGCTGACTTGATATGAATAGCAAAGCAGGCCATTTCAGAGATAAAACTTTATTAAGAGTTGAATAATGCTAAATTTGATTGACTGCATTGATAACCATAATTTTTTTTCCTCTAAATATTCTGCCTGGAGAGAAACACTGATATTCTATAAATGATACATATCTCTAAATGATAACAAACCAAAATCAAAGAGGTATTGACATTTATCATACCAACTCTTGTGTAACAAAGCTAAATGGAGATTTAATTGTCATACAGGTAATCAGATTAGTGAAGACTGTCCAACCACTCTACCTAGGTGGCTACATTATCCAGCTCCACAATCTCCACTGATGAAAATGACCTAGTAAATGCCAGAATTTTGCTTTGCTTTATGGCCTTGGGGTGACCATATGTTTTATTTTGTACACTTTATTACTTGTTAAAGAGACACAGCCCTGAAAATAAGAATGGGTTCATATGCCAAACATTCTGGACTCTGTAGACAGTCTGAATTGATTAAAGTCTCATTCACCAGTTTTTCTAAAGTGCAATTGTCCGCAACTCAGAAAAGCAAAGAAACAGAACCTGCTAAGATCTACAACTTCCCTCCTACCCCAGATCAAAGGAAACTCCAAGGCAAAAAATAAATATTTGGAAGTAAAATTCAAGACAAGTCAAAATAAACCACAATGAGATTAATGTTCCCTGAGATTTTTTTTTTTCTTTTTTCAGAGCTAACTGTAATCTCCTGCTCAAAGGAAAGTAGGAGCACATATAAATTAAGGATCTTTAAGGCTCAGTTAAATATGCTGAAGACACAAATGCAAAGGATGACTTCCTATCTCTAAAATCTACTCTTCCTGTTTCTAACGTGACCCTGTTGTGCAACTCTGATAAAAAAAAAAAAGTGTTTACAAAACAGAAATGCAGCTCTCCTAGTTCAAATAAGACAGTCTCTGGTGAAGTAATAAATAATGTGATTCTTCTATCCTTAGAATTTCATTAAAGGCCAAAATGAACGTACTAGCTGGAATCCAGTAGCTACCTTCTTGAAGTTCTGAATAATACATTGTAACAGAAAAGGTTTACAACATGGAAAGACAACATATGCATCAAGAGCATTTATAAACTCAGCATCAAGTAAACATTTTCCCGTGGGAAGCACAACTTGACAGGACTCCTACTTTTATAACCCGATCTGAGAGCTAAAAGCTCCCCTATAAAGATGATGCAAACGCCCTAATGCACAGCACATTAAGCCCTAATGAAACAGCAAACTCTGAGTTTTAAATGCAAGCCTCCATTCAGCGATGGTTTAAATATAAGCATAATAAAGCAGATTAAAAAGAAAGAGGCTGTAATTACTTTTATTAAGAACTCAATCTCTTGTCCTATTATTGGTGTGCGTGTAAGCCTCAAAGGCTGAATACAGATAGTAAAAATTATATGAAGGGCTTACCAATCATGCTGTGTCCATTATTTTTTAAAATGTGAGCCCAACAATTGATAAAACATGCAGGGAATATGAAAAATTGAAAAACCAACATCCTGGTACAATATCAATTAGCTCTGGGCTAGCCGCTGTATCTTTCCTTGTCTTACTTGGTAAAGAAATGACATTTTCTGATTTCAGGACTGGGCATGCCACATAAAGGTATATGAGAGAAAATCTCATAAATTCAAAGGAGTATGAAAAGACAGTCTTGATTTCATGGTGGCTATTTAAGGTGACCCTCATTATCCTTTTGGGCCACAAAGTAGCAATTTCCTGCTATTTTACAAAACTATATTTTTGATTAGCTAATTTGTTATAAAATGTACACAGAAGAGCATATTTGTGCAATTTGTATATTACCTGAATTTCAGTTATTTCTCCAAATGTCTCCAAAGTTTTTTGAATGACTTCTTTTCCCCAATTACATATTTCGTATCTGCATTCAAGTCAGTTCAAATTATTTAAAACCATCCATGTGAAATCAAAATATAGATCAAAGCCATAGAGTTCTTTGAGTTCTCTACTTACTTCTGGCTTCTGTTCCTTTTTCTTGGTCTAAAATGTCATAAATCTATCATTAGCTAGCAACTGTTCCGATGGTTTAAAAAGACACTTTAACTGAAAAAGATTAATGAATTATCCCTCTAGTCCTCCAATTAATGTATAGATTTATATAAATAATTCCTGAAATTATTTGTCTGTAATACTGACATTCACCTTCATCTTGCTATCAGAACACACTCGGGCCATTAACTCACTACACGTATTTCTGACCAACAATCTGCATTCGAGATCTTCGATGGGCAGCACTTTATGTCCTACAACTTTCAATCCCCAAGCAGTTCAAGTGCAGAAGAAAGACCTGTCGAATAGCATTTCTGCAGCACAACACGTATGGGTAAAAGGAGAACTTCAGATGTGCTTTTATTATTTAGTTCATGCCGATAAAGGAGCTGCTCAATATTTATTCCAGCAGAAAAATATTCATAAGTTACTTATCAACAGACATGTTTAAACGTCATTATCTGGTGTATGGGCAAAGTGGTCAAAATTTGCATTTGGCCTGTAAGTATATTTAGTGTTATCTTCAGACATGGATGCTAATTTTGCTTAGACCTGTTTCAAAATCCAAGCATTTGTCTGAAATAATCACCTTTTTTTCCCATAGATTGCTTTTTTTCTGTGTTTCATAGTATTCATTCTCTGGAAAAGAATTGATCTTAACAAGATTATCTTCCTGTGTGCTATTTCCTACCATCTTTAGTCTCCTTTCCCAGGCAGGCTGCAAGGATTTAGGAGACAGCACCATCCAAGATCAGCTGTTTTATTTCTAGTTCTATTAGTTCAAACTCAGATAGCTCACACATCTGTTTTATTTCTAAAATCACTGCCCAGGGAAAGTGTTCTACCCAAACATAAACTTTACTATAAATAACTAAGAATCTAACAAATAACTGTTTGGGGGAAATGGAAGTGTGTATAAAACTCTGAATTCTTCCCAACTATAGCCCTTCAGCAGCCTTCCTGTTAGAGCCTTCCTGACAGCAGCGATGAGCTTCCCTCAGAAGCTGTCCCCAGAGTGAACAAACTGAAACTCCTGCCGGAAATCCAGGTATTAACATCGTATTACTTGCTAATTATAAAACACTGTTTCACATACTGACATTATTCACTCCTAACCCTTTTATCTAAAACGCGTATTTGCTTTCCAATCATAGTTTGACAGCTGAGTGTATCTGACATAAGACAGTGAAATGATCTTTAATAAGACAGCAGTTCAAAGCATGTAGCTTTCATGCATAATAACTATGTTGGCTTAATTTGCTTCTCCACAGAAATGATTCTATTTGTGGAAATTCACAAAGACAAAATTTTTAGAGAGCTTTACCAAAGATGAAACTGGCTTTTTAAGAGTTCTTCATATCTCCCTCAATGTGGGAAGACTGCCATTCTGACATTTAAAGAACTCAGAAATTTCTCTTCTGATTCTTCTCATAAGTATTTGAGAATATTTTCACTACATGTTATTTCTAGGCCCTCTGCTTGTGTTTCTTAGCAGGCATTAGGTCAGTGGAAAGATCACAGCAAATGTGCTGTGGCTATTAAGTTAATAAAATGACTGATATTTCAAGAGATTTAGTAATGCAAATAAGTGTGATGTGATCTCATCACTACTCTGGTACTTCTGGTCTCCTAACGAAGATTAATGTTAAACTTGATGTTCAGAAATCCCCCTGACCTAAGAATATAACAAAAATCTGTAGATTACAACAAAAACTTTCTCAAGCTGACCATAAGTTTTGACTATGCAAAAATTGCTAAAATTAAATGAATACATTTCTTTAGAATCAGTTCCATGTTTCATTCTATTTCAAATAGTAACTTTTCTCATTTCACATATATTGTAAACTAAACACAGGAAAGTAGATCAAAAAGACATGCTGGTTTTAATAAAACTATAAAAATAAATCATTACTAAATGTTTTCATAAATTATTACCACTTTCCTTAAATGCAAAAAGGAATGCTTTATTGGCCTACACCAAGGCCGTTCTGGTGTCCCTAGCATTTATGATCACAATGACGTCTTCTCACTAATCTAAGAGGTTACTGCCAAATCTTTATTTATACTTATTTTGCTTTTTCATTCATATATCTCTACAATGGTCATATTATTTCCAAAGTTTCACTTGTAATTACTTTGTTTTATCGAGAGAATATCTCCGTAATCATCAATATGGCCCATCAAGCTCACTATAAAATCAAATCCTAATCCAAGAGACCAGAAAGATCTTCATAAGAGGAAAAATTATAGCCAAAGACTTATAATCTGAAACTAGAACAAGGAATGAATTATTATCATGCACAACCATAAAGATTAGTGCCGTGTTTGGAAGACTGAAAATAGGCAGTTATCCTGAAACATGTCCAGAAAGATGAAGCTTAACTAGTTCTATGAAAAGACTTTTCCCAACCTACTAGAAATGTTGGGATTTTTCCCCAAAACAAGGGGCTAGAGAAAACTCATAACCATCTGGATGAGGTGGCTATGGGTGCATCCAGCTCTTGTGCTGATCTACAAAGCTACCCATTTGGTCTGGGGACCCTGCTTTGACCATGTATGTGAAAACTCACGTTTTGCTATTTATAACTTTTTTCTGTATGGAGAGACCACAATGTGAAGCACAAACCTGTACATCATAGGTCCCATTTAGTAAAACAGGCCTTGAGGAACTGATGTCCTGCAGCACACCAGAGAGCACAGAACGGTTGACCTTCTGGAAGTCTTTGGAATGGCTGAACTGCACCATGTTATGAAGGGCCAGGATTTTGCTGTCCAGCTCAGCATCCTGCCTGGTGCGGTTATGCAGTCCTAAGTGATACTTTCGGAAGTGCTTGATCAGATCTGTGGGGTCATTGCCATAGTAACCATACCCACAGATATTGCATTTAAAGTCCTGAAGCTCTGGAGACAGAGGTGCCAGGTCTGGGTTGTCATTCACCACTGAGTCAGTTTTGGATTTAGTCAGTCTCACACCCCCATCTGAAGGCACTTGTGGGTTTTTTGAGGCCACTGAAACTGGGCTTAAACCTTGACAGTTGGCTTGACCACTCTGTGCTTGCCCTGTTTCCTCGGTAGCCTTTGGTGACATCTTATGATCTTCCTTTGTCTCCGATGAGTCCCCTGATGGGGCACAGGCCGTATCTTGAGGACCATCTGCCTCTGCTCTCTGAGGAGACTTCAACGGTTCACAGACGCCCCCGGCAGCTGGAGATGAGAAAGCCAACATATTTCTGTCTGTCACCTCATCATGCGGAAAGGACGGAAGGGTGCCTGCCTTGCTGGGGCTTTCATAATTGAAGCCAGCCTTCTCACCCGGGACTGAGCTTTTGGCGTCCTTCTTGCCGCTGGAAGACGGATCTTGGACATGCGAGCTATGCTCCTCCTTATTATTTAGTTCTGCAGCATCACTCTGATCTGTGTTTTCTGACATCTGATCTGCAGAAAATTCTTTGTTCTGTCCAGATGACTTGCTTTCTGTACCTATCGGCTCCAGGGTCTGGCCCTCGCCTTCACTAGCAACGTTTCTCAGAGGGGGGTTCTTTTTCCGGACCATATCTGCGAAAATACATGGAAAAGGCAGACACAGGGTTATGTGAAAGTCACAGACATGTAATCAAATCTAGAACACTTTATTTATTCCACTCAATATTTCCTACAGTGTAGAATAAAATACTTCCTCTAGGAGAAATATCAGTCTTAAAAACAGCAACAAATTAAAACTGAAGCAAATAATTTACATTTGGAATTATTTTTGTCACAGACTGTCTCATCTATTATTTTAAAAGATTTATGAATATTACAGGACTCATTATTTTTACTGCCTCTGCCATTACTATTAGTCTTCCCTACCAATTACATATTTACCCAATTTCTTTCTTTCTTTAGCTATAATGCATGATACACCCACACACATACATGTTACAGATTTTATATATATACACACACACACACACACACGTTTTGGTTGGTGAGATACATATATGTTTATATGATAAATACATTTATATGAACAGCATCAAATATAGTTTAACATTGTTACACTGTGCAACCAAGCTATAAATACTCTCTCAACCAAAATGCTCTCCTAGGCCTAAGGACAGAAACAGCCATGTGATGAACAGAGTGAAAAGAGCCCTGTTATGACTTCCAGAAAATGGAGGGCAGCGAAGCTTCATTTCTGAACTGCCAACTGATTTCTTTAAGACACTTGGAGAGCTTTCCTGAAAATGAGGAGGACCTGGTGTGCGTGAGCATGGTGGTCAGGTTGCAACAGGATTGTCTCCAGCATGATGGTGGAGCAAGCAAAGCCCAGGGGATACTACATGGGACCTATGGCCAACAGGAACAGGTCCATCAGCAGGAGCGCTTTGGATGCTAAGCTTATGTTCAACCATAAAACACCGTCATGTTGCAGCTGAAAAGGGCCAAGACTCAGCAGTATCCTACGGTTTCTCTTTATGTGGCACCTCACCTGTCTCTCTGGATAGTGACATCATCAACGAAGGTCAAAATTAGAATGCTGTGAACAAACTCCTCCACAGCAATCTAATGAGTTGGAACTCTAAGAACACAGAGAAATAAGAAACACTGTGTGTCCTATCAATAGAAGAAGGCACTGACAAAGGTTAACTCAGCATGGGACTCCGTGGCCTGTGTTCTGTAAGGACTCAGCAGGAAAACCTCAAGTGCTGTCTAAGTCATCACCCCAAACATCTGGAAAATTCTGTCTCTACTAAAACAAGACTTCTTTAGTAGAAGACTGTTGGGAATACCAATTTATTTTTTTTAAGTAGGAAGATATTCATTGACAGGAAAACTCCTGAGGGACAGGAGGGGTCCTGAGTGGGTAGCCAAGGACCCCACTTTACAGAGGAGTTCTATAGGGTGAACCCGACATGGGTACAGCGTGGGCCACAGCTGTAAACGTCCAATCAGGTTACACATGCAGTCGCTTAGGGAATGGGGTCCAATTGGGAAGCACATCACAGAGCAAGGTACAAGGATTTTCAGGAAGGGTGGAGGTCAGGGATATTTCCTGAGAGGCTGGGTTAAGACCCTGACCGCCCCCCCCCAAGGTGACTGACACCTATTTAGAACATCAATCGCTGCTATTCATCCCCAGGGGAAGCACAAGGGTGTGTTAGTTACACCACGATTATCAAAAACGTGCTGGGAGAAAACTAATTAATAACATGGTGTGAGTCATTTTTGTCTGTAATTTTTCACAAGTGCTAAGGAACCAGACTGGCTTGGGAAAGATGGGTGTAGAGAAAAGTTGGTCAAAGAAAAATTTTATAGTATGAGTCTCTGAAGAAAGATAATCCAGTAGTTGTACAAGGAATCATTTACAAGGTAAAAATTCACCTTAGTGAATAGTGTGGACAATAGTACACCTGTTTAAAAAAGCGCACTGCTCCTCTTCTATACAAATAACATCATTCATCAAAGGCCATCACATCTCCCTCTTGGAACAATAAAAATCTCCAAGATGAAAGACTGAGCTTTCGAGGGATGGTCATGGTTCTGAGGCAGTGGCACCCTGCTTGGCTTCCTGGGGTAGGGGGCCCCGTGTTCCTCTTGATGCCACCCCTCGGGGACTAAAATTAACAAACCTAGGCAATCTTCATCCCAAAAAGAAGCTCTCATTGACTGTATTTTTGCAGTGCCTGCATTTTAATGTCTTATGTGTTGATGGCAATGGTTTAGGAGATCTCTATTCTGCCAGAAGTGACCAGGGCACCTTAGGAAGGGGGAACACAAGGGAGACTGCAAGCAATTTCACTAGCGCCCAACAAAGGGAAAAATAAAGAGAAAAATACAGGTAATTTAAGAAATAGATTATCATTTCAACTGAAGTTTAAGCACAAATGCTTATAGTCTCAGCTATTCAGGGGGCTGAAGTAGGAGGGAAGTGGCCCTCAGAGTTTGAGAACAACCCACACAACACTACAAGATCCCCCAATAAAATGCGTGTGCGTGTGTGTGTGTGTGTTTACATACGCATTTACCTTGGTCAACATAAAAGGGTATTCTAGATCACTGAGTACCAGGCCTTCCTACTTATGAAAACATGATGGCCTGGTATAAACCTCTTGACTTTCTCTCTAGAACTCCATGATTATTTCTTCTACTACACACATTACACTATAATGTCTCCTTTGACAAATACTGAGTAACTGTCTTTTGCCTTTCAATATTTTTCAGTAACTTGACTAAACTCTATGACTCACCTAAGTAAGTAAATGAAGTTACACAAAAATTAAAATCCTATATGAAAAGTAGAATGCCTGAAGAAATGATAATTCATTAATGTTATCCTTCCATCAAAATGAAGAGAAAATGGTTTATGCCCATATATTAATGTCAAGGTGGTTGGGAAAATGACAATAATTTCAATACCAAGAGAACAAAGTTAAATTAAAAATGAATAGATCTAAATACATTAAAATTGGAAAGATTATTTTTCAGGACAAAAAAAAAGTTATAGATCTTACTGATTAATCATTATATGAAGAGATGTAATGGGTCAAAGTTTCAAAACTATTCAACCAACATGTTTAGTGCCTCAGAGGAAAAACACGATTAATTAAGCTATCACCTCTCTAAATTTCAGTCCCTTCTTGCACCCAAGAACTGAACTTTAGAATGTGTATGACTCACTGGTTCCTTATGCTGAATAGAGGCCTTACTAATATACATTGCAAAGAAGGTTAAACTGCTAAAACTTCAAAGAAGTATCGGAAAGGTCACTTGGGTTTTATTCTGTGTTAGGGGGGTAGGGGCATGTTCTTTTTAGTTGCTGTTCTCAAAAAAATGTGGCTAGTTGACTATACTTTGAAGTACTTATAGAAAAAATAATTCTAACTGGAATTATATCATCATAATTCTTCAGAGTGACATATTATGTAAATAAAGCACATTCGCAATACTTCTAAGTGGAAGAAACTCCCCAGCAAGTCATAAGTTAGATACCGTAAGACTAGAGCCACCCTCCAGTTATTATCTGAAAGACAAATAACAGATTGCGTGACGCTTTACTGTGTGCCAAGAACTTTTCCAGTTAACATTTTCACTTGAAAAAATAGATCACATACTTGTAAAATCATACCCAGCACTGACTTCATAAGGCATGTGGCTTTAGAGGGCTTTCTACAATTAGTAATTCTATTAGTCAACTAGCAGGAAGCTAATGCAACTGTCTGAGAAGACGCTCCTAGGACACAGAAGACATTTGGAGAGCTGATCTGTACATCTGCAAAACAAAGCAAAAAAAAATAGTTTCCTTCCCAAATGATGTAAACGTACTTTAATGTATCACACCTAAAATACATCAATACAGCAGCACCATGAGCTGCTGGGAAAACATCTGATAAAAGCAGGAGCAGACCTTGGGCAGGCTCCTGTCCTCCCTTGGATTTTAATAAAGCAGCAGGGGGAGGAAGACGATAAAAAGATCACAGGACATGAAATCAGTTTCACAACAGACTATGATGTTGGTGAAGTTATTTGACCACAAAACCCCCTCAACCCTAACGACTACGATACTTACCTACTCTAAGGTGGGGGAGGATAGGATCTTAATCTGTAAACATCAGCAACGGCTTCTTTGGGAAAAATTTAAAGTCATTAAAATACATAATAACCACGAGACTGAACCTCAGTCATCAGTTTTGGCAATTCTGTTTTAAACAATATCATTCTGCTCCGTAGCAATGAATCCACCTCACACAAACTACGAAAGTAAAAGCGGAAGATGCCAGTTAAAGTAGGTCCACTATAAAGAGCCATCAGAGACAACAGAAGCTGAAAGGGACCTGGACAGAGGGGCTGAAAAACTGCGAGGCTCAAAAGTGTTTATTTGGGCCTGGGAGGTAGCTCAGTGGTGCTGCACCTGCCTGGCAAGCGCAAGGTCCTGAGTTCAATTCCTGGTACCAAAAGAAGAAGTGCTCATGTAAGTCCTCTATGTAATTTTGAGATACGAAACTGACCCTGGGTAATAGTAAACACGGTTTAAACTGACCTCATCCTCCACTTACACTAACACGTGTACTTAAACATGTGACTGCCAAGATAGGCAAACAGGTTAAAAAGATGTTTAGCTTCTTCTAAATGTTCTATTATGTTTTCAATTCTGCGATATAAGATATTCCATCTGCAAAAATCATAAACGTCTACTCTTGACTAACTGTATTTCTTTCAAAATTAAAACAAATCTAAAAGCTTTACATCCTTAGAAAGTGTTTACTATTACTTTTTTAGAAAGCAATTGAAGGTAGTATGACTATGTTACGTATTACTTAGATTTAAGCAGTGAAAATAATAATCAGCATTAGAGCTTAAAATATAATCCTGATAACTACTTGGTTTCACTGATTAAAATGCTTAAATATATAAGAAAACAGTTTTCTGTAAAAGATGGAATTATGTTCTCAGAGCCAAAGGAATCTGAGTTTTTCTATTAAACCTGAATACTGTGAATTAACTCACTAATGATTCAGTTATATTTAATATATCTGTAATACATTAAATATATATGGAAACATAAACATGTCTGC